TGTTGCTAGCAGAAAAAGATCATATGTAAATTTCCCTCTGCTTTGAAAACAAACCTTTTGAAAGTGCTTCTTTGTTTACAATTTTTTGATTGCGGCGTGATTGAAGGAAGTTTTGCGCGGACTAAATGTCCTTGAGTGATTTTTCCACCATCGATGGCTGGTTAAAGATATGTGCAAGTCTAGGCTGCCGTTGAATGATATGCTAGTGTTTCATGAGAATCCTTTTAAGATTCGGTGTGGCTGGGTTATAAGTGGTAACAAACGGTAAAATTTCTTTCGCCTTCTTTGTTTTGTTACGAAGAGCTTCTGTTCTGTCTGAGAGCTGAACTTCAGTCAAGATTTTATGAACGAGCGCCGTGGGATAGCCTCTGTTACAGAGTCTTTGCTCAAAATCTCGTTTGTATTTATAAAAATTCTCTTTGAATGAGTTGGTTCTTAAAAGACGTAATGCTTCTCCTTTGATAAAACCCTTTTTAGTATTGAACGGGTGGCAGGATGAGAAGTGTGTATACTGAAAAGTTTCAGTGGGCTTGAAGTGGGTTTGTGAATCGAGAGTTTTGAGAGTTGAAAAGCAAGGTCCTCTGAATACATGTACCTCTGTGTCGAGAAAAACAGCGCGTTCGGATGACATTTCACAAGTAAATTTGATCGTAGGGTGGAACGAGTTAGCGAAGTTAGCAAAATTGGAAACTTCTTCCATTGGAATGTTCCACAAAGAAAATATGTCATCGATAAATCTCTTCCAAACAAAGGGTTTCAGTGGGCTAGTTCTGCAACAAAAGGGATTGCACTCTTAGCATTTCTCGCTCGACGCATGTTGTCTATTGCCTTTGAAAACTAAGATCCAAATAGAAATGTTTTTATAAGTCACCACTCTTGGCAACAGTGACATACATTTTTCAGCTTATTATGGTTTGGCAGCTGATTGGAAACTTTGAGTGAGGGATGGCCAGGCCAAGTTCCTGTCATGCCGCAACTTCTGACTTAACTGGATCTGGTGAAACGTGGTTGTACAGCAGGCAGTACGGTTAAATGGTACATTTTGACACTGTTGTCTCATTATCTCTTTGAGGTTTCAAAAAATTCTCAATAGGTTAACAGTTGAATATGTGAAAGAATTCTGTCACGGTATTTTGAGTTAGTTTGCCCACATACAGAACTACCTTTAAATTGGAGGAAACTTGAAAATAATAGTTTGCCAAGATAGAAAAATACCAAAGAGATAATAATAAACCATGAAGTAACAAGGGTTGTTAAGGATGGAGAGGATAGGACTGTTACAAACGACAAACTCAAAAAATTCGAACTAAACTTTTCAAGATTTGCAAACCATGACGTAGCTCATTTAAGGCTGGTTTCCATCCGATCGCTACGATCGCTGCGAAAAAAATTGTAGCGATCGATCTCTTCGGCGACCGTAGCCATGGTGAACGGAGATAGACCTCAGTTCTACCTCAGCAATCATAGTGATCGCTGCGGCATAATACGGAAACCACGCTCTACAGATATTAGCGATCACTGCGATGAAAAATATACCAGAGATTCTGAGTGCAGTGCGCCGTTGCTTCGTCTAAGTCCTCCAGGGCAGTTTAATTTGCAGCGATATCGTGGTAGTCATAGGAACAGGTAGCCGTAAGGATCGCTCAACCGTTTGTTGGAGCGCAGCAATCGTAGCCATGGTAACGATCATATGGAAATTAGCCTCTATGGAATATATGACTCTTGATATATAATGAATCCTTTCATATTCAGATATTTCTTTTACGCATGCACTGACTTTTGTAAAAATATTCTCCACTCTAGATGCACCGAAAGTTTATTGGTGCTCCAAAACTCCAACTTTTTTGATCGAAGGAAAAAAACCAGACGATTTGGAATGCCATTTGTCGGGATGGCCTCTCGAAGTTTATTGGTACAAGGATGACAAAATAATCACGAATGGAACTGAAGGCATTTATCATTCAGTGGACAAGAGGCGGGAAAATGGAGAGGGAACTCTTCATAGCAGACTTAGTCTTCCTCCAGGACGTGAAGAGCTGGAAGGAACGTATAAGTGCTGTGCGAAAAACAGGATTTCTGACCGACAGGCCTCCGCTTCAATCGAGTATATATATGAGTGTAAGCAGAAACCCATAACCACTTAGGGGTTACTGATGTAAGAAATCTGAGACTGCGCATATATGAACTTAGTTAAGTAGAGTGGAGTGGAGTGGAGTGGACTGGAGTGGAGTGGGTGTAACGGTGTAACGGTGTAATAATCATCGCGAACTTTTTATTTTACTCAGGTCCAACGCCAAAAGGCCCGACCATTGTCTCTGCTCCGGAGGTCCTTGCAAGGACTTTCTCTACTGTCAATCTGACATGCCTGTCTGATGTAGACGGCGCGTGTCCACAGTTGATTTGGCACAATGAAACTGCCCCCTTGGAAAATAATGCAAAGTACCAAATAAAAAAGAAGAAAATGCGCAGCAAATGTAAACTACAATCCATCCTCTCTATTTTTAACGTGACGGAAGATGACGAGGGAAATTACAGCTGCACGTGGAACTGCAAAAACCGAGTAGCTGGTATTTACCTGAAAGTGTTTGTTCAATCACAAACGGGTAAGAGCCTGGTTAAAAAAAGAAGTGGTGCAACAGAATCCGTGTAGTTTTTCTTTCAAAACCATGCCTAACCCTAGCCCTAAACTCTAAACCCCAAACCCTAATCTTACTTCGCCTAATAAAAGCGCGCACGCTTAATGCTGACAGCATTGCTACTTACCATTTGGGCGAAAAAAAAAATCAGATTTCGCTCTAAGATCGCATAGATAAGACATTTTCTTCAAAATCTATGGAGAAAGTTGTAAAGTATCAGGCTACTTAAAGGATTGTTCCGTTTCGAAACTCTCTTTGAGTGCTATTGCACAGTTTCAGTTAGTTGTATTATTCAAATTATATGGCTTCCGGCGTTTTCTTAATTCAACGCCAGCGCTTGAAAAGAAGGATGAACACCTTTAAGAATCCTTGCTGTGTCTTAGGGAATTTTCCCGGTAAAGGATAAAAAATGACTTTGGAACTCACTTAGGGCGTACGTGGAAATTGCATGTGTATTAATTCTGTTTCAAAGTGTTCGACTTTTTTATTGGAATTCGAATAAAATTTTCAATCTCGACCTGAATATTTTCAGTAGCCTCTTTGGCTGAAGACGTTAACACTGAGCGAAAAATCCAGCTGATTGTTGGGTGAGTCTTGCACTTCACGTTTCTTCGTCGGAACCTCGGAATTTACGGAAAACCCAACTTTGTGCATGGATAAGTTAAACTATAAGTTGAACTGACCGCCTGCTAGTGGAACACAATATATTGCAGCAGAGCATTATTACAGTGTGTAGAAAGTCGTCTACGTTCTGGTCTGTTCCAACTGACAAGTGAAAAATCTACAGTAGTCGCCAGTACTTTTCTAATTTTGGTTCTCTTTCCAACAGCGCAAGTGACTGAAAGTGTGACCACTTCAACACGTCCGTCATCTAATTTGGGTTCAGGTCAGAGTTAGACAGTGTCACCCCGCGTCTGTTTACATGAAGTAACCTTTGCAGTAATTTAACATTTTTGCCAGATTAGTTCTCATTTTCCGCTCTCATTTTTTCATTGTTTAGAACATTTTATTCCAAAGCTTAAGCTCAACTGAGATTAAATGACCTTATGAGTTTTTCATAAGTTGAGCCTCATATGATAAAAACAATGAATGACAGTTATCTTTTTACATGTTTGCAAATTCTACTGAAGCAAATGCATTTTTGTAACACTTTAAGACATTTATGGTATTAGTACACCTATGCATTTGAGAGTCAGCGCAGGTTGCTTGTTTAGAGAGATATTTCAGGCGATTCATTTTGTGTTAACTTTTGGAAAGGAGCAGTGGCCTCACCCTCAACGTTCTATTATAAAAGTTCTAGTGACAAAAAAGTAGTGTGTTTGGAGGGGGTGATTCAATTGAAAAAGACCTAGAATACGATGTTTTGAAAACATTTCAGAGGTCTGAAACCTAATTACATCAAGGACAATCGAACCATGAACACCCTTTCTGTACATTTTTGGTAAGTATAGAGCAGGGATCTTTGTATAATGTGCCAGATGTTCCGCCCCCCCCCCCCCCCCCCCCCCCCCCCCCCCCCCCCCCCCC